CTTTTTTTAAAAAAAGTTTTTATTTTATTTTAAAACAAGCAAAAACATGCATATAACATAAAAATTACCATCAATTACATATCTATTTAGCATGTCAATTGGTCACAAACATTTGTGCATCACCGTTTTCAGCAACCCCAATATACATTAGTACATTGATATCATTGTAAATCATATATTCACTCTTATAATTTCTTCCTTTTAAATAGATTAAAGATTAAATTTATAAGTATGCTAACTATCTGTTACATCATTATAAATCTATTTAATAATAACATATCTTTATGGTATCATCTATCTTATTCTGGTATTTCTTACAGTATATATTTTAAAAAAAAGGTTCACCAACATTTTATATTTGTGTATCATTACTTTCCATTATATGTAAAATCATAAATTATCTATCAAATGTATATAAATGCATCTTTATCATTGTGTCTCATATATTCAAACTACAATTATTATTTCTTCATTTTAAACAAAATATTCTAAATATTCAATTCATACGTATACCAATATTCCATTACATTGTTATATATCTATTAAAAAAACTATATAAAAGTAATATGTCTTTATGGTATCTCATATCACATTCTATTATTACAATTCAAAATAGAATTCTTTATTGGCTAAGTGTGATTGGACACACAAGGAATTTGTCTTTGGTGCATATGCTCTCAGAGTACATAAGGAGAATAAAATACATTCATCAAGAATAAAAAGATACAACCCTTAATGATAGTCAAGGTTACTAATAAGCTAGCAAATCATACTAGTAAATAAATAAAAACAATATAAATGGTAAAGATGCAAGCAACATGGTTATAATCATAAGTGGGAAGAGATAGCTACTAGGGAAGAAGAGAAGAATAATAATAGTAATACATAACGTGACCAGACGTCCCGATTTTCGCGGGACAGTCACGATTTCGCACAATTTGTCCCGTGTCCCGGGACGTTGTTAAAAAGTCCCGATTTTTGTGACCGGACCCAGAAGTAAGCCTACCCCACCCCCAGCCCTGTAATACAGTCTTCGTAAATTGTTTGACAGTGTTGTGGGAATTAGTTGTTTAGCAGAGTGATGGCATTCGGGGAAAAACTGTCCTTGTGTCTAGTTGTTCTGGTGCGCAGTGCCCTATAGCGTCCATTTGAGGGTAGGAGTTGAACCAATTTATGTCCAGGATGCGAGGGGTCTGTAGATATTTTCACGGTCCTCTTTTTGACTCCTGCAGCGTGCAGGTCCTCCATGGAAGGCAGGTTGGTAGCCATTGTTTTTTTCTGCAGTTCTAATTATCCGTTGAAATCTGTGTTGATCTTATTGGGTTGCAGAGCAAAACCAGACCGTTATGGAGGTGCATAATTATTATCATTAGTTGAGCATAATTTCAGAATGCAGCTTTGATTTGTGTGTGTGTGTATGTGTGTGTGTGTGTGTGTGTGTGTAGGAGGGGCTCATCAAGTCAAAAAAAAGTCAAGATGGAGGCCACAAAATACTTTTATTCCATAACTTTAAAATTCTTTAAAAAAAAAAAAAAGATTTTCTAATAGATGCATTTCTTAAGGCTTGATAAACATCGTGTTGTCTCAGTATTTGATTTGCACAACAGTAGAAATTGACATTCCTAATCTCACCCCCCCTCCCCAACCATTGGTAAAGTAAATTCCATGTTTGACCGAGTAGTCCTGTACTGGGTACAAACTTTTGGGTGGCTTCTGAGGTCCTCGGTTTCTCGCTTCCCAGGTGCGCCAGGAAGGAGCAGTGCGAACGCTCCAGTGAGCCCCGGAGGTTTGCCTCGGAGATGAAGCAATGTGTCCGACTCACCGTGCACCCTAACAACATCTCGGTCTCCCAGTACAGCGTGACGGTAAGGATGATGGGCTTTCGTTTACCTCTGAACTGGGAAATGGAAGAATTGATAATTGGTCATTTGAATCTTTTTTTACGGAGTCTTTGAGGCCACTTGTAAGTTCACCTGTGTCCTCAGGGGTCACCTGAGTGGTGCAAATGGGTGTGGAGCCTTCTTGGAACTGTTGAAAGGACCGTGTTGTAGCCTGGAGATAGATGACGTCATATATCTCCCCCTATGTTGAGAGAGGCCCGTTCAATGTTGACCTGGATGGCCTCTTTGACCCTTCAAACCAGTGGTATTTTCTGTCCAAAATGTGGACTTTGCTGTCTTCAAACAAGTGTGTCTCATTGTCAATCTGCACTCTGACCAGTGCAGTTGTCATTATCTTTACGAGGAAGACGAAACACGTCACTTGAGGTTCCCAGCATCCTGCTTTTGGGTGGTGACGGCAACCTCAGGATCTTCCATCTTTCCTTGTGTAGCTCTGGGGCATCCTGTCCTTTCCACCTGTTCTCATTGCCCTCTTCCTTCTCCTCTTTTCCTTGTCTCCTGCAGCTGGTGTTGGAGACCTACAACGTCCCTGAGCTATCCAACGGGGTCAATTGCTCCTTTGGGGACTTGGCAGAAATGGATGGCCTGGTGTCGGGGAACAAGATCAGGTGCCTATCGCCAGCAGCCAAGGAGGTACCAAAGATCATCACGGAAAATGGTAGGTGTCAACCAGGGACGTGCAGTCAGGGGAGGCAGGGGAGACCCGGGCCTCACCAGTGTCATGAGGAAAAGAAAAGAATAATTAAAAGGAAAAAGGCCAAGGTAGTTGCTGACAGAGTCACAGTGGATGACTCTGCTTAGTGCTTAACTGCAGTGGGAGGCGAGAGAACTACGGGCCTCCTTTACAGGGCGGGGCATAACCTTTTCCTAGGGGGTCACAGCAAGATCGACAGCAGTTTACAACTT